CATTAAAAGTGTAATTATTTACCGAATGACACTTCATGACAACAGTCATAAACATTCATAAAGACTCCTTCATGTTCATGACAGGTGTTATGTCATGTGTATGAAGGGTCAGTCTTATGCACACCCCTTCAAATAAAATGTTACCAATTACGGTTTTGGAAAGACTAGAGCTGTAGCACACATACAACATACATACCCTTGGTTCATCAGTTAGCTCTTCTTGCGACCTTGACACAATAATGCTAGATCCATGCGTTTTCTCTGGAGAACTAAGAAGGTCGTATCTTACATCCTTTGACAATGGAAACGTGCCTGAGCAGCAAAAGGGGAACATCCATTCATTGTATTTCTTTAGTAAGAGGTTTAGTATGCAACGTGCTTCACAGAATCTTGTTGGCTTCTTTTTCTAAAGAAGTTTACTTGTATACCTGGAGTCTCAAATCGTCTTTTTCTCTGGTGATGCAAACGTTTCATCCTACATTAGAAAATCCAGATGGTTTACACAACAGATGTAACAGTGCAATATAAGCGACTACTGCATACTGTAAAAAATAACAGCAACCACTGCATGGCGGTGGTAGAAGATTTACCATCACTTGACGGCCTTTTTAATGTTTTGTGGTAGATCAACACATAGTAATGCATAATAGTGGAAACAAAGGAATAGGATGCACAGTTTTGCCTTTTAAAAACACAAATCTGAGAAGGTCAGTGTGCATTTTTTTCAACATCCTCTCAGTTAATATTTTGTTGAATCGCTTTTTGCTAACTTTACAGCTGCCAGTCTTTTGGGGGTGTATTTGCACCAGCTTTGAAACTTTTGCCTGTTCTTTGCAAAAAAAGGTTAATCTCACTGTAATTGGATTGGCAAACTCTGCTACAGATCCTTTACTAGATTCAAGTCTAGACTTTGGCCCATTCAAACACATAATTGTGTTTTGATCAAAACTATTCTCATTCAATTCTATAAGTCTAAAAATCACTGTCCTGTTGGAAATGTAATCTCTGGTGCCTGTCTCAAGTTTTTGAGTCTCTGGCAGCTCAGCTCCATCTATCAACTCTGACAACAGCAAAATCCAGTCACCATCTAATATTGGTCTGATGTGGAAAAATGCAAGTCTTTCTTGCTAAACCAACAAAATGGCTTTTTTTTTTTTGCCATTCTTTTGGAAAGGCTGAATTTGTGGAGGAAATTAATAGTATTAGTTGTGGATCTCTATGGTGCAGTATTAAAGCCAAAAGTTTAGATGTTTTCTCTGCGTTTATGAGATGCAACCTATCACATGTAACTTGAAAGAAAGTTATGTGTGATAACTTCGTTTTGCGATTTGACTGCTTTGAAATTGTCCCCTGTTCTCTTTAAGAAGCTCCTGCTCTCTCCCTTCAGCTCAACGCCCCTCCATCATGCCGTTTGTAACTGCTCTTAAGAGCTTGGGACTGAGAAGCAGTTTGCATGAGAAGCTCAGCAGATACTCATTTCCACCAGGTGTTTGCTTGCTGCTGCTTCCACCAGTCTGGCAGAAGTGAGTGAGGAAGGGGGTTTGCATCTGCAAGTGTTTATGAACGCCCTGCCATGGGGAATTATATATTGTGACGTATAGCTCAGAAAAAGTTGATTTCACAGAATACCCACCGCAAAGGCCACCCACCCTCTTGAAAAAAAATTGAAATCTATGTATCATAACTTTGTGTTGGCTTATCACATCAACTCTCCCAAAAATGCATTCAAGTTTATGATTGTAACATGGTAAAATCTGAATTAAAAAAAAAAAGTGAGGATTAATAATTTTTTAAAAGGTTCTGTACGCTCTGCAAACAGTACCGTCCATTGAATTGCAGTATAAAGAGAGTGCTGTACCACTCACAATCCTCTATGTTCTTCTTCTTCAGTCTCCCACTCCTGTCTGTTCATAGACATACATTCATCCACCTCAAACGATATACCAGTGTATTTCCGTTCCAGTCTCTCCTTTTCCTTTTGCAAGATTTCTTCAAATTCTTTAGCTTCCTCATAATAGATGTCCTGGATAAAACAATTTCAACAGTTTTTTTTTTTTTATTTTTTTTTTTTATTTTTCCTCATTTTTTCCACTGCTGGTGCTACTCACCAGTGAACCTTGTCAAACAACAAATGAGGCGATCCTGCCATTTTGTAAAGGTTATCTGCGGTGTAATCACTTCTAATGAATTGATGTAAAGTAAAACAAGGCACACTCACTCTGTCTAAGAGGACCTCCTCTTTCTGTGATTTGATGATTGAAATGGACTGTAAACGCTGAAAACGCAGATTCTGCTGACAGAACTCACACAGAGGTTTGCTAGAAGTTTTTTTACGAAGAATTTTCTTCCTCCTAATCTTAATTCCTGGAAGCTCCAGCTAGAAGAACAGATTCACAATTACCTTTCACCTCAGATATTATAGCCTCCACACTATCACTGAGGGAAAACAACAACAACAAAAGAGACTGCAGCTGCTTTTTCTAAGCACTAAATTTGCTTGGCACCACCTGGAAAACACGAGGAGCGAACTTTGGCTCTCGCCTGCATGCTATGACACGAGGGAGTCCCAGATGAAGACCATCATACTCCCCCTCTCCTGCATCCTAATGTGAAACAAAAAACTTCAGCAAAAAAATCGCACATTGATTGCTGATCAAAAATGACAAATAATTTGAATCAGTGATGTCCAAACGTTGTGCAACATGGGCCACGATCAACAACTTGACAGTAATCAAGGCCACAAGGCTGCAAGAATTTTTAATAACTGAAATTGCAAAATCACTTTTTTTTTTTATTTTCAATTACCTTTATTTTTACCCATTCGATATTTAATATTTAAATCCAATGAACTAATCAGTCTGATGTTAATATAAAAGGTTATTTGTAGGTCATTGTGGAGCCAAAAACAAAACAAAAAAACAATATATTTGCCATTTGCATTACTAAAACACATTTCCAACATATTTTCTGGGTTTATGTGTTTTGCTTGATGCATAGGTTTAATAGACAACTGTGCTGAAGCCTGCTTTGAGTGTGGTTCTGCTAATTATCAAATTAAACATAAATGACAACAATTTGGTAATTAAAAGATGTACAATGCATACATTGTGTATCTCATTTTCTAATTTCAGAGAAAATCTTGCCCTGAAAATTGAAACTAAATGTCCATCTGCATCAACAGCTTTTACAAGTGGGGCAAATTTGTATCACTGTTGAATCGCAATCGCTGGCCACAAAAATTCATTCCAAGGTCTGCAAATGGTCCATGGGCTGCACTTTGGACATCACCGATCTACATCAGTAACTCAAGCGGAAGATAAAAATGGAGACTGTTGTTAGGAAGAGAGTAATTTTGATCATAGTGAACTAAAAACTGCGTAAATACAGAAAAAATTTACCGATTGATCTCAAAATACAGAGGATTGCATAGAGATCTTATTTATTCATGCATGTTTATGTGAACAAAAGCATGTGCTTTTGCTTGACTTGTTTACATAACCCAGATTTCTTTTGATTTGAGCAGCCTACCTCCAAATACACCACAACAGCGTCCCTGTACATTTCATCTTGCCACATCTGGAGAGTCTCCGCTTTCTTTTGAACTGCACCACGGAGAAATAATTAGGAATCTGACAGATGTCTATAAGTCATGGGAGGCAAAAATGGGGGTAGGAACAGGTGACCCATTCTCACCAAAACTGATGACACAGCTTACCTTGACAGCTGCAAGAGAAGCACTGCTCCACCTTCTCCCAATCTGTCTGCGTTTCAGTGCTCACCAGCGTAATAAATCTTCCATCCAGTGAGCAGACCTCCATGAAATGCGGTGAGTCTGGGCTGCTTGGAAGAACAGAGGGATAAGATTCAGCTACAGTTTCATTCAACTGTCTGAAATACTTCTGAAGCAACATGTCAGCATGCAAAGTACACCTTCTGCTGATACAGATCAGCTGCAGCGGTCACTAATGACGTGTTCTGTCTACCTCAGAAAAAATAAACATCTTGAATGTATTTGATCGAACTCAATCTATTTTCTACGTTGATTTAAGTCTGGTCACATAGAATTGTTACTGGTTAAAACTGAGACAAAGCTAAACTACATGTCATTTTTGTTATTACTATATTGGCCTAGGAGATTTCAAAGTGTTGCAGTTTTTGTCTTTTCACGCCAAACTCTTTCATGTTGTCCACGTGACATTTTCAGCTGATTATGCATGAGTCCATACCCTTCTGGAAAATTTTTCTAGCCAACTTTGACAAACCACCAGTGATATAATGTGCTCAGTCTGCTTAGTTTCCTGTAATATTTTTTTTTTCTCCTTTCTGAAACGTCAATAAACCATATGCACCAAAAGGAGGTCAGTTAAAGTTATTTTGGTTTGACCCAGGAGCAGAAACATGGTCAATGAAAGTGCATAGACAGAAAGGATATCAGTTTTCTTTATTTATTGGAGTTCATGGACATATTGTATTATTTTAGACATGGGTTCCTTCTCTATTTGCACTTTTGCAGTTTGATCTGTTTATCTCAGACTTGGATATGAAAAAAAAAGGCAATTGCTGCAAAACATTTTGTAGCCTTCATGTGTAATCTTATAAGGCCTGGAAAAGGGAGTGTTGTACTCATTTAAAAACTAGTTATTTTTTTATTTTCATATGTAAAGAAATTTGTTAGTTCACATTGACATTATAGGAGGATATTTTCAAAAGTCCCCTTTGGGGAATCAGAACCTCAATAGATGAAAATAGGACATGTTGCAAAATTTTCTGAAATAAAATACACTTAAATTAAGTAGATATGCGTTACTTTCATCACATTGATGAATGTGATGAAAGTATCTGAAGTATCAGAGGCCAATGTGTGAAATATTGGGACAGAAATAAGGACAATAAAAATATGAGATATTATTAGTTTTTATATAAACACTATAATGTAAGAATAGAGTATTTGTGTATTAAACTCTTAGCTACAATAGTTGATCTCAGCAAAGTTCCAATGGTTTAGTAAATAGGTAAGAAACATTTTGAGGTCAAATCAAACGTTTACAAAATTGTATCTGCATTTATTTTATTTTATTTTATTTTTTTTACCAATATATGGTAATTTTGTTCTATCCTACTTTCTGAATATTTTTACTTGAAAACCTAAACCTCTATATAACACTATAGATTGACTGAGATTCTGATCCTTGTTTGGACATTTCTCTTCAAAATAAAATATTAGAATCTTTGATCTAACCAATGTGCAGGTCAATATTATTCATTGGACTCAATCAACCTCCTTTACATGTAAAGTTAGAGAAATAAAGTGTTAAAACATTAGTTGCCAAAGGAGGCACGTATGACCTGTTGCACCATTGGTAAATACACATACCCAATAAAAAATAAAATCCTAAAAAGCCTGTTTGAACAAGCAGGAAATGACTACCAGGGAACAAAGAAAGGCTTATAGTTCAGGTAGAGTATGGGGGATGACTAAAACGCTGGTAAAGGACTATTCACAACTTGGAACACAGGTGTGGGCAAATAAAAAAAAAATGAAGACAAAGCCAATATGCAAGAAATGAACAAGAGAAAATACAGTACAGCAGAATGCAAAGCAAAACAGAAGTTAAAAAAATACTATCTTTAAAAACTACCATAACTATATCTTTGAAAATTTACAAAAAACAAAACAAAACAAAAAAAACGTATATTCATTGTACCAGACACATCACTCATTTAATCCTGTATTTAATGCTACATTCAACTGCCAGCTGTCAGCTGACTGGGCGCTCTAGGTTCGGTTTACCGGGAGAGAACGCCCGACTCCCGGCACATCGTTTCAAAAACTACCGCCAGCTTTCCCCAATGAGTGGATATTACACTAATATTATTCAGTCTAATTCTAGTTGTAAAACACTAAATGTTACTAAAGTATTTAATCTATTCCTGAGAAAATGAATTTTATTGATTAAAACTAGGCCTTAAAACATAATAGTTTTATTTAAATGTAATGTCTTATCTGAAATCCGAAGGCTATATTTGAAAATTAATAACTTACTTTATTCATTGCTTGTAGAAATGTGCTACACATGTTTGGAAGTTTTAGAATCAAACTAGCAGACTTTTATTTTTTATTTTACTTTTTATATTTTTTACTATAGAACAGCCTTTACTACAAAAGGTGAAGAATAATACAGATTTCTGGAGTATATAGCTGAAAAACAAACTACGGCTCCTTTTTTTTTTTTTTTTTTTTCCTTTGCCGCTCTCTGAGCTTCACTCTGTTACGGTTGCTAGGCAACATGAGTTACGCTGCGGGGGAAGCTAGACAGCTAGCTGAAGGCTAGACCTGTCTGAATTCACATTTTCTCTTCCGGTCGTCGTTTATTCTCGTCGGTCTTCGACGGGTCCTTCGAAGGACGCAGACCCTGAACTCTCCTCTCTGTGGGCTACAGCCAATCACCACCAAAGAAAAACAAACGACGCTCCTGGATTGGTTAGCCAATAGCATGCCACGTAGCATTGCCCAGACGTATTATGCCCGCAGTTCCAAGACTTCATTTTCTTTCGAACATTTTAGATCATATTCATAAACGATTTTAGATATGCTGAATGAAAACAAAATCATAAATAATTTGGTGTCACATTCCAAAGAAAAAATATGTGAATAGGTGAATGCACATACACTGAATCTTGAATTATTATTATTATTTTTACAAATTTCCATTTGCTAAAATAATTTATTCGTCCTGAAAATGTATTTTCAATGTGTCCTTAACACACTTACTAAAAAGTTTGAAAGTTTAGTTCCAGAACACATCTTCAACTTATGGTCTATTTTTACTGACGGGCTGCACATTTCCTTTTGCACTGTACCATATATTCAATTAGTAAATTTATGCATAAAATTTGTTACAAATTTGTATTAGTACAACTGCTAGTTTTTGCAGCTGTACAATTAACAATTTAATTCCATGGCAACTCATCTATAGTTCAGCTAGAAGTGATTTCTAACTTGGAGATTTAAAACGATCTAAATTCCACCAATAAGTTTGATCTTTTATGGCAAATGAGACGGTCATCTCTTGAACAATTAAGAAAACTATGTGAATTAAAGTATCAATTTTAAGATACTTTTTAGTGATTCAGATCCTTCTTAAAACATGTGGAAATAATCATTATTAGCATTCCAGCAATCAAACTCGTTAAAATGGCTGAGCAGGGTTCTTTTTTACATGTCTCCATTGGTATTTTTGTGACAATTCTTCATAATAATGAGCTCAGGTTTTTGATTTTAGATGTGAAGAATTGGGATCATGTGTAATTGCAGAACAGGTATCTAAAGCCCTTTTTGCAATATACAAGACAATTTGAATGCATTTCACTCTGAGTGTTTCTTAGACTTTATAACTTTTAAGGATTTTTAAAAAAAGAGCGGTTTTAAACAGGTTAAAAAAGTAAATCTAATGGTGTTTAAAAACAGATATAGGAAGACAACGACAGTAAACAATACATATAGCAATCAATGAGCAAAAGAGAAAAAAAGAAAATAAATATTTCTACATTACTACTTTCTTACAGTTTCTCTTCTAGCGACGCTGTACTTGAATCTTCTGGTTCTCTTGAGTGCCCTACCCGCCAAAGAAACAGAAAATTAGATTCATGTAGAGCATAAAGACAGTCTGACTCCATATATTTGTCATATTTCCCCCCCCCCCATTTCCAACTCACTTTCTTCAATCTGCTCCTCAGAAGAAATGCCAGCACGTACATTCTCAAGGTCATTTGTCACCGGCGAAGCACAGATCTGAGCTTCGGAAGGGGAGCTGGAGTAGTTGTCGGCTACGTTATTAACAATGGGGCCTCTCTTGTCGTCACATGTCTCATGCTCCTCCAGGCTCTCCGAGTTGTCATAAAGCTGTCGAGAGGAGAAGTCACCTTCTCTGGGACTCTCAGGAGAGGAAGAGGCAGCTTCTTCCTGGGACGGAGACAGACTCATGTTTTCAAAACGTGATATGTCAAACGAAGCAGTCTCCAGAGAAAGCTGACTGAACACGGTACAGTTCCGATCCCCTATCCTATTTGTTTTTGTTCAAGCGCCGTTGCCTGGCAGTATCTGTGCATCAAGATCATCAAAAATGTCACATAGTTTCAAAAGATTATTTCCCCCCTTCTGTTCGTTACTTTAATCTACAGCGACTTGAAAGAGTGTGTGGAATGCTTTGTAGCTTGAGGACAGATTTCTCGCAAGGTTGAAATACACATTTTGGAGCACTTTGAGAAAATTAAAGAACTTTATTTCAGCGAGTATTGGACACCATGTTCTCCAAAAAAAAAAAAAAAAAAAAAAAAGAAAGATGGAGAAACTGTACAATTTTATACCCACTGAAGACTGAAATGATCTCACTCCTGGATAACAGACAGTACACTTCACCACCACCCTTTCATTCAGAATGATGCATCAAGGGGAGTAATTACAGTCACTACTGACAGATAGATGAGTAATGCTGACAACAATACTTTAGTCTATAAAACCCTGATTTCTCTCAGTTGGATATGAACGTTCGTAACAGGCACGGCAACAGAGCGTCGTCTTTTGTGTTAAATATAAAGTCTATTTTTTCTTAAGGTTTTACAGCGACTTGCTTCACACAGAGTGTGTACAACTGAAGGTAGGCTGAAATAATTCACTGTATCACACTATTTCAGCTTCGTTTGATCATTTCTTTCTGCCTTTTGATCAGGAAATTAAATTAATCCTTTTCCATTACCTCAATGGCTTTGCTGCAAATCTAAAGGCAATATATGCTAATTATTGCATTTCTTTCTCTCTCTCTCTCTCTTTTTTCTTTTAGCCCAGATTTAGCAAAAACCCCTTCAGGATTTTATTAAGGAAATCAGAAACAATGAGGACCGTGACTCTCCTTCTGTGTTTTGGAAATATATTTGTAGCATTACAGGCCAGTGATCAGCATTCAGACCCACTCTCTGTAATCGCGGCGTATGAAACAGCTTCCCCCGGTCTTTCGGCACTGGAAAAACAGCAATCCAACATCTCGGTTCTTCCAACCCAAGCAACGGGAGGAAAAAGAGCACAGCCCCCCATGTGCTTAGAGTCTGCTGGAATCAGAAGCGCCTTCAAATATGTCAACATTATGGTCTCTGTGGTGGTGTTTGTCATTGGAATAGTGGGGAATTCTGCTCTGTTGAAAGTCATATATGCAAACAAAACCATGAGAAGTGGACCTAACATTATCATTGCGAGCCTCGCTGTAGGGGATCTGATCCACATTGTGATAGATATTCCAATCAACTCATACAGGGTGAGTTATTTGCCGTATGCTGTGTAATAGCATTGAGAAAAACACATTGCACCCTTTGCTGCTTTTCTGCATTCTGTTCTGTTTGAAGACTTCGATCCTGATGTCCTTCTTCTTTCTCTTAACCGAATTGTCCTCGTCTTTGTTGCAGCTCCTGGCAGAGGATTGGCCATTCGGTTTAATAATATGCAAACTTGTCCCCTTCATCCAAAAAACTTCTGTTGGGATTACTGCGTTGAGCTTATGTGCCTTGAGTGTTGACAGGTAGGGAGATAAGCTGCGCTGTTTTGTCGCCTCCGTGAGAAGAGTGTTTTGAGGCTACAATCTGCATTTCATCAAGCAGACACATTTTGTTCAGCTGTAGTCCTTGAAATGCTCTTCAGCTAGAAAAAAATGGAAAAAAAAAAAAAAAATTTGTTCATTCCCGCAGACAAAAAAAAGTTCCCCAAGCCATGACATTTTCTCATTGATTTTGCAGATACCGCGCTGTTGTATCCTGGAATCAAATCAAAGGCATCTGGGTTTCTGTGCGGACAACGATTGAAATAATCCTGATATGGGTTTTTTCCATCCTGCTGGCTGTCCCTGAAATTGTCGGCTTTGATATGATAACAATGGACTATAAAGAGAAGCATCTGAGGATATGTCTGCTTCACCCCATCCAAACCACACAGTTCATGCAGGTAATGTCGTGCTGTTCAGCAGCACAAAGTAAACAGAAGATTTCAAATTTTGTCAAATGCAAGCCTTGAAATGTCAAGTATGCTTTTATTGATGTCCTCGTTGACCTATAAATACGCACATCAGTATTGTACTGTTGGTGCTGTCCCGTTGCCATGGACAATGACGGTTTTTCTGCCATGTGTCTTGTTTAATTTACAGTTTTATAAATCTATAAAGGACTGGTGGCTCTTTGGCTTTTACTTTTGCATGCCACTAACCTGGACGGCAGTTTTCTACACGCTGATGACCAGAAAGATGCTGAGAAACACAGAGAATACATTAAGTGACCACATTAAACAGGTTATAAAATTATCCTCTAGTTTCAATCTCATTGTGTAACCTATAGCAGCATCCATTTTAATTTGAATGTGTGTTAAATCTCTCCTTTCAAAGAGACGAGAAGTCGCCAAAACTGTCTTCTGCCTGGTTACCGTGTTTGCGCTGTGCTGGTTACCCCTGTACCTCAGCAGAATCCTGAAATGGACCATTTATGATGAAAGGGATCCAAACAGGTGCCAGCTACTTAGGTGAGCATTGTCATTACTTTTTTCGAAACTTAAACTATAATGGAGTCACTCACAAAATTATTCATAACCTATAAAATGTGTCGCATTTTGTCACACAACCACAGAATTAAAGGTGAAAATAATGAAATATATACATTTATATGACAGAACAACACTAAGTCATGCCTAAATTGGAAGTGGAAGGAAAATGATCATTTGTTTTCAAAATGTTACAGATCTAAAGGGTGTGGCAAACATTCATAGGCAATGCAATGTTACCTTTAGAGCTGTGTCTCACTGCTTTAGATATTTAGACTGAATGTTTTGCCCAATGTTCTGTGCTCAGTCTTAGCTACAGATTTAAATCATACCCATAGCACGATGTTACCACCACCATGTTTTACCATGTCATCTTTGAACCACACATGTATCACACTTTACTCAAATCTAATATAAACCCACTACATAACTGAGACCAGATTATTTTAGAAGGGCTTTGCAAGAATATTTTCAAAGCCATTCGCAGTAACGCCTTCAAACTTGAATACACACTATTTCATAGTCCAACATAATCTAGTACAAAATTGTTGAAAGTAAATAATTCATAGTTGTATTTTTAACAAGTAAAAATCTGAAAAATGTGGCATACATTAGTATTAAGCCCTCTTTAGACTGATACCCCTTAAAATCTAAGACGATCAGAAGTCACACAGCCTGTTTAATTTGAACTCAGTGTAAATACACCTATTTTGAGATACTGAAAGAAACAGTATCATGAAGACCAAGGATCACAGCAAACAAGTTGGAACAAAACTGTAATAAGGCTCCAATGAAGTTTAGTCAGGAATAGGTCATAAGATGACATCTCGAGGTCCAAACTTTTCTTAGAGTAATGTTCAATCCATTATTCGATGAAGTAAAAGGTATGGCAAACCTACCAAAACATGGCTAAACTGACAGACCAAGCAAAAACTGTACTTATCCAAAGAAGAACCAGGAAACCCATGATAACTCTGAAAGAGCTGTAAATATCTACAGTTCAAATATAAGAGGAAAGTGTTTTGATTCGCTGAAATCTTTTCACATTTAAAACAACCTATTTTTTTTTTCTTTCATGTCTACTCTGTAATTTATGTTGTTTATTCCAAGCAATCTCAATAAATACTGTTTAGTTTGTGACTATAGCATGAAAACCTACAGAGCAGTTTTAAGGGATATGAAATGAAATTCTCATGCAAGGTACTGCAGGTCATTTTCCTAAAGTATGCATTCCGTTCCAGCGCCTTCCTCATCCTTGACTATTTCGGCATTAACATGGCTTCGCTGAACTCCTGCATCAACCCTATTGCGCTGTACATCGTCAGCAAAAGATTCAAGAGATGTTTCAAGGTGAGTGTTGCCACGGTTCAGACAAGACTTCTATATGTTAAGAACATTGCAGGTGTCTGTTGAATGAGCTGTGAGTGTGTCTGTGTGTGTGCGTGTGTGTGTGTGTGGGGCATCGTAATGGAGTCATGTCTGCAAAGACTGCTGCTAGACTGCACACCTCAGGGGGTAATAAGTGAAAATGACCTGGAAAAAAATTTAAAGGGAAAAAAAAAAAAAAAAAAAAACGTCACTTGGCAATCTACCAGATAGTCTGTGAATCAAACTGACGTGCTATGAAGAAGAAAATGTGACTTGCAGGCATTTTTTTTTAAAGAGGAGCCATTTAAAGCTCTTTATTGTACTACAAGCGCAGAGGAAGATATTGGAAATATTCACAGATTCATTTTGACTCACATTGGGTTACCACAACAGTTCACATCTAACATTTGTTTTTTTAGGGTTTTTTTTTTTTTTTTTTTTTGCTACACTGCTAGTGTTGTAGTATAACTAAATAAATAAAACAGATCCATTTTATTATAATATCCACCTCTCTAAACTAATTCAGTTTTGTTTTGTGGATCAGTTCTACACGACAGGAGTAAGATGTTCTCCCTGTGATGTTGACGTGTGCTAGCTGAATTTTTCCATGTGGTCCTCCAGGCATGTCTGTGCAGTCTGTGTCTGCCTCTTCAAGCCCGTGCCAGCGATGAAGCGCAGTCTGTTTTGAAGTCCAGAATGCAGGATCAAGCCTCAGAGCAAAGCAGCAACATCAAAGCTCACAAGGAGCCTCCACCTGTTAACACCTTACTGTGTTAACAAAAGTCCAGTGGAACCGTGAAAATACTTTTTGATCCTGTCTATAGTTCTTCAATAAATAAGTATGGCGTTCAAAACAAATACCAAGCCGGGGCCTCCTGTCTGCAGCTCGACAGCCTCCGACATGCCAACCCGATAACGCAGGGAGCCTCTGAATAACGCGGGGCACTGTCTTTTGTAATGCTGTCGTCAGCTGAACATCTGCTTTGGCGTGAGCAACCTGGAGTGAGACTGTTCGCACTATTATTTGCCCCTCAGGCTTGACTCGCTTCCAACCATTACGTCAGGCTTCACCTTGTACCTTTCCTGTATCATGCATCACACTCCTTAAATCACTGTTTTGGATGCAGTG